CTGCTGCCTGGCCCCTAATCTGCCATGGGCCCCTATACCACCTCCTCATGCTGCTGCCAAGTCTAGAGTCTGTCATGGGTCCCTGTACGGCCTCCCATTGCTGCTGTCTCCATTGCCACACTCTGCCATGTGCCACTTTCAGGTCTCCTCACACACTGCTGGTGTGTTCAATTTTTTGACATAGGGTGCTGGCAGATTACGGGCCTCCCATAGCTGCTGCCAGGCCCCTAATCTGCCATGGGCCCCTTGTACCGCCTCCTCATGCTGCTGCCAGGTCCACAATGTCTCATGCCATGTGCCACTTTCAGGTCTCCTCACACTGCTGGTGTGTTCCATTTTTTGTCATAGGGTGCTGGCAGATTACGGGCCTCCCATAGCTGCTGCCAGGCCCCTAATCTGCCATGGGCCCCTATACCGCCTCCTCATGCTGCTGCCAGGTCCAGAGTCTCTCATGGGTCCCTGTACGGCCTCCCATTGCTGCTGTCTCCATCGCCACACTCTGCCATGTGCCACTTTCAGATCTCCTCACACTGCTGGTGTGTTACATTTTTTGTCATAGGGTGCTGGCAGATTACGGGCCTCCCATTGCTGCTGCCAGGCCCGTAATCTGCCATGGGCCCCGTACCGACTCCTCATGCTGTGACGTTGCAACAAGGTGGAATTCAACCCTACATATGTTAGACCGCCTTTACGAACAGCGAAAGGCCATCACAGATTTCCTGATGTTAAAAGCGGATAAAGGTACTCCCTGTGTAACTTAGATGTCAGCCATTGGCAACTCATGCGTGACACCTGCGCTTGCTCAGGCCCTTTGAGGAGGCCACGCTATTCGTGAGTCGGCAGGACTATGGGATGAACGACGTCATTCCTCTGTTGCACGTCCTGGAACAAATGCTGTTAACAATGGCTGGTCAGGGTGCGGTAGACGTGGCGCACAGATCTCAACGCCACATGACCCCTGTGGGGGCAGGACAGGAAGAAGAGGAGGAGGTAGAGGAGGACATTGGTGCTCAGGAATTATTGAGTGAAATGGGTGGTTTTTCCACTCAGCGGACAGGAGTGGAGGAGCAGGAGCATCTGGTAGAGGAGGAGGAAGAGGAGACAGAGGACCCAGACGCACCGTGGCAGTATGCTGTGGAGATGGAGGCAGGGAGTCCCTCGCATTCCTTGGCACAAATGGCCCATAGCATGCTCGCTTGCTTGCGTACCGACAGCCGAATAATAACCATCAGACAGAGGGATGACTTTTGGCTGTCCACCTTGTTTGACCCTCGCTACCGTTCAAAAATGGTGGCCTTTTTCACACCTGCTGAGAGGGAGGCCAAAATAACGTACTATAAAAACCACCTATGTAGTCAGCTGGTCTCTGCCTTTCTGCGCCAACGTCCATCCTCAGACACTGTGGGCCCTGTGCGCTCGCGTTCCGCTGCCATGGCAGCAGGGGAGGGGTGGGGTGGTAGGAGCAGTGGCAGCTCCACCAGCAGCAGCTGCCTCAGTCTGCAGTCGATGATGAGTAGCTTTCTTCACCAGCGCAGTGAGGAAACTACTAACCAGCCGCAGCAGCAGCAGCAGCAGCAGCAGCAGCAGCATCAGGTGGACCTGGAGCAGGACCTCAAACAACAGGCTTAGGCCTACTTGGACAGCACCCTGCCAACCGAGGTAGACAATCCCCTTGACTACTGGGCAACGAAACTTGACCTTTGGCCCCAACTAGCTTAATTTGCCCTTGAAAGGCTGTCATGCCCGGCCAGTAGCGTGGCATCGGAGTGCGTGTTTAGTGCGGCAGGAGGTATTGTAACTCCGCGGAGGACACGACTATCCACCCAAAGTGTGGAGAGACTCACGTTTGTGAAAATGAATCAGGCGTGGATTAGTCTGGATTTCAAACCACCAGTTCCTGACACAACTGACTAAATCCGCCATGAATCATGCCCCAAACATGTGCCACTTTCAGGTCTCCTCACACTGCTGGTGTGTTCCATTTTTTGTCATAGGGTGCTGGCAGATTACGGGCCTCTCATAGCTGCTGCCAGGCCCCTAATCTGCCATGGGCCCCTATACCGCCTCCTCATGCTGCTGCCAGGTCCAGAGTCTCTCATGGGTC